TTATTAGTGCTAGTCAACTCTTATTATTCACAGTTATAATTGCAATATATGTCCTTATTCTCACCGCTCTAAGGAATCCTATGTCCTTCCTTGTTGTTTTTGTCACACTACAATCATAACCTCCTTAATTATATGTAGTATATTTGCAATCAAACATGATATTGATTGGTCTTGGTTTCTTTTCCTTGTATTTTCTTTCCATTGCATTATCATTGCAAATCTTAATTATTTAGATTAAAATTTAATAATATAAATTAATTTATATTTTAAAAAATTATTAAATCTAATTTAACAGTTTAAATTTATCGTGTCTTCTCTATCTATCAAGGGAAGCCAAATTGATTAATATCACAAAAGTAATGACTCGCTGGCTTGCTGCTCTTTCTGTTTTCAAATTTATCCTTCTCTCTATCCTAAAGACCAAGGTCTTCCTTTACCCTGAAATTGAGCCCACCCTCCTAAAAAAAATTGTCCTTTAGGTGTCAAAAGAAAACAGGCCCCATCCTTCACGAAGTAGAGCCGAAAATAAGGATCGGGCCTGAAGGGCCGGGCTTGAAAGCCCTGTTTAAATAAGGGTTCGGGCTTTGAAAATAATTTTTTTTAAAGTAATCGGGCTTGAGGGCTTGGCCCTGATAAGCCCTGTAAAATAGGGCTCGGGCCCGGGCTGCCCTTCAAGCCCTGTTATATTATTTTTTTTATTATTTTTTTTAGTAAAACACGTGTTTGAAATCAATGACCTGCTCACCTGATCCTACACACATTATATTATTATTAATTTTAATTTATTCTAAAATTAATTTAATCTAATTTAATAAATATCAGTGTATAGTATAAAATTTATGATATTTTTTATTTTTTTTATAATTATTATGTTTGTATATTTATAAAAAAATAAACTATTTTTTAAATGAAGATTTAAATTTTATTACTAGACTTCTAATATATGTTATTCAATTTTTAAAAAATTATGATGATTTTAATTTTTTTAATTTTAAAATATTTTAATTTATTTATAATGTTTAATTTTATTTTAATTTTTTTATTTTTTTAAGAAAGGGCTTACGGGCCTGGCCCTGAGCCCTGAGTATAAGGGCCGGGCTTGAGAAATGGGGGTCAAAATGGGAAACTGAGCTTTAGGGCTCAGGCCCTAAAGGGCCGAGCCCATAAGGGCCAGGCCCTTAAGGGCCGGGCCCGCCTGTATTCCCAGCTCTACCACGAAGTTAGATTTTCTACTCCTCTCTGTAAAGGAGAGAAAAGGAAAAATTAATACAAATATAGACTGTTAAATGAAATTCAAAAATTTAAATTTGATAATTTTTAAAAATATAAATTTAATTTAAATAGTTTAGATTTACAGTGGAAAGGTAGTGGAAAATTGAAAAAGCAGAGGAAAAAACCCACCCCATCCTCTACCATTATCATCTCATTTTCTTTTTCCCTTTCATATGCTGCCTTTCACACTCTCATATTGCTCCCTCCTTGAATTTAAGAGTTAACATTAATTATTAACTAATTTATATAAAATAAAAAAATTATTTTTTTATAAGGAAAATATGTGCTGGTTTTTTTTTTTCAAAATGCTCTTTCTTTCAATCATTTACTTTGAAGTATTGTTAACATAATCTATATATCATGCAAAATCTGACTAACTATTATTGATATGGATGGAGAAAAAAGTATAAAGAAAATAGAGAGAAGGAAAACTAAGAGAGAAAATTTTCAAAATTAACAATTTTTTTACTATTTTTAGAAATTTTTTATCCTATTTTTCTCTCTTCTTTATTTATCTTCGCATTCAAATGAAAGGTAAAATTAAAGTAGGTTGAGAAAAAAACAATAAATCTTTGATACTTACAATTAAAACCAAAAAAAATCCCCACGCAACTCATTGAGTATTATTATCTGTACTATGTAACATTGTAACGTGAACCGTACTGCATTGACTCCGCTGTCCTTTATCTTATTTATTTTCTTCCTCCATAGTTTTTATCTGGGAGAATTTTAAAAAAGATTGGGGATGTGATTATCTTCAAATCACACCTATTAAAATCTGAAACTTCACTGCAGGACTCAAAGATTAAATTAAAATTATTTTTAAAAGAAAATGACCAAAATATCATTCATTTATTTAAAAAGAAAAAAGAGGAAAACCACAAACCACCACCGTTGGTGATAGAAGCCTTACGGGTAACAGCAACCACTAGACCTCTGTTGCTATTCGCCGTCAAGTGTTATCGTAACTATGCGGGCTGTCACAAGTGTAAAATATTTCAAAGATATCATTCCCATGAGGATTTAGGCAAATGAAGGTTAAAATTCACTATTAGGTTTTGAGTTCGGTTGAGCAAAATTAAAAGTAGGTTTGTGTAAAAGTAATAAAAATTAAATTAAAAGTGTTTAAGTAATGAAAATTGGGTTAATAAGCAAAATTATCCTAAACTTTTAAATTCATAGTAAAATAAACCCTCATTGTTAATTTTTCTAACGATGTTGCTGTTCATTTATTAATTAACACCACAGACCCTAAACTATTACACAAGCAACGTTCTGGACCTTAAACTTTAAAATTTCGAGCAAATTACTCCCAACATTTATATATAAAATGTTTGACTATTATGTAGATCAAACTAGCTTCAACATAGTCCATTATGATGAACTCATCATTGGCCGTGATAAATGACCTATAATTTTGTGAAGTGACATTTTTTGCCCCTTTTTTTGCAATGTTTTACAATCGGTTGGTATCTCATGCTTCTGCATACTCTATAACTCGAATTTATTCTTATTTTATATAATGTTTATTTATTTGGTTAAAACTTGGGATCCTATTAAAAAAGAAGTTTAAATATTAAAAGATTTTAATTAACCAATTAATTTGGATTTTAAATTTGTTGATGAAAACGTTGGACTTCACATTCATCATTTGTAAAATTCTTTAATACTTAAACTTCTTTTCAAATAAGATCCCAAGTTTTCACCATTAAATAAATAAATATTATTTAAAATAAGAATAAATTAGAGTTATAGAGTTTATGAAAGTATGAGATCTCAATCGTTTGCAAAAACATTGCAAAAATGTCATTTTATAAAATTATGAGTCATTCGTCATAGCTAACGATGCATTCACTGCGGCGGCCCATGCTGAAGTTAATTTGATCTATATAGTAGTCAACATTCTATATATAAACGTTGGGGGTAATCTGCTTGAAATTTTAAAGTTTAGGGTCAAGGACGCTACTTGTATAATAGTTTAGGGTCTATGGTGCTAATTAACAAAATAAACATTAATGACATTAGAAAAATTAATGGTCAAGGTTTAATTTGCTATAAATTTAAAATTTTATGGTTTATTTTGCACATTTTAAGAGTTTAGAGTCTAGAGCACTTTTTGCATAATACTTTAGAGTCATGACAAATATTGTTGCTAGCACTGGGCAAACGAGTTACGGGTCAGCTCGCGGGCTAGCCCGCATGGACTAGCATTTTTATGAGTTGGGTTGGGCTAGCCCACTAGATAAAATGGGCTGAAAAATTCAACCCAATGCATTTTTTAGTGGGCTAGCCAACTCGCGGGCTGGCCCGCAAATAATTATCAAATTTTTTTAATAATTTAAAATTTATATAATATAAATATATTTATTTATTTCATATTTTAAAGAAAATTAGCAATTAAAAAACTTGTAAATAAATAAAATAAACATAGAATTTATCCAAGCAAATTCATTTTACTAGATTTTTACTATCAATCATCTTCTCGCTTAGGTGTGCTATCTTTGTCATTGAAAAAGAAAATTTGAACATAAACCCATATTATTTTTCTCAGTGAATTCATATTTATAATTTCAATCAATAGATTTTATGAGATTAATAAATAATATATATTTAAAATATTTCTATAAAAACTAATAAATCATCTTCACAAACTATAACAAAAATTTTATTTGCAAATTGTAAAAAGGATTTACACTATATTTTAAATGTAAAGAACATATTTGAAAGTTATAAATTATATATTTAAGAAATATTATTATTATTATTATTAATGTATATTTATAAAAAGATATAATATAATTAAAAAATAAAATTTTTTTTTTAAAATATGCTAGCCTGCGGGCCAACCCGTTTAGCCCTTGGTTAGCTCGTTTTAGTCTGCTAATTTTGCGGGTTGGGCTAACCCAATATGTTTTAAAAATAGGTCAATTTTTTCAATCCAACCTGTTAAATTGTGTGAGTTAAACGGGCTAGCCCGCGGGTTCAACCCATTTGCCCGGCTCTAATTGTTGCAAAGATCTAGAGAGAGATTTTGCATCATTTGTGACATTGCTACATTTTTTACGTTGCCAAAATTTTAAAACATCTTCGTCAGATATGACTCATATTTATAATTTCATTAGAGATTAATTTATATATTATCATCTTCATTAATTATTGTAAAATTGATGTTTGATATTTTAAAAATTAAATTTTCTCTTTTATTAAATTTATTTGAACTAAAATATATTAAGTTATTTATTTACATAAATTAAATTGTTAACATTAATATAATTTAAATTTTTATAATTAATTAGGTATGTAATTTAAATAATATATTTTACTTCTTAAATAAAATTTAAAAAATTTAATAATATTAAATATAAATATATTAATAATTTAATTTTAAAAATTAATATCCTTTATAATAATTTAAATAGTTAAAATTAATTTTTATTAAATTATTTAAATATTTTTAATATTATTAAATTAATTTTAAAAAAATGGTATTCAAGCATATGAGGTGGTAGTATATTTAATTATGATTAAAATTTATTATTTAATTAATTATTTTTATATTTTATTATATCCCATTAAAATTCGACACTTCTTCAAACATGACGCTGCTACTAATTTCCAAACCGTACAACGCGTGCTTTGAAAAGCAATAATAATTAATAATCTTTTAAAAAATAGTATAATAAATATAATATGATAGCTGTACAATGTTGGCTGCAACATAAGCTTGACTCCCTCCCCACTTAATTGAGCCAGTCACTTTGCCGTCCATCCCTACCAAAGCTTCGGTTGTGCTTCGTCTTTCATAATTTCAGTCCATAGCTTTCCGACTCGCGCTTCTTCTGTATTCTCTTGCTTTCTCTGTTTTTCCTTTTGCCTTCGTATTCTTCAACACCCAAAAAAAAAAAAAACCTGAAGTTACTGCTTTGCTTGGCACTTCTTCAATTTGGTTTCTGATATATTTTCATCCGTTGTTCTCATTATCTTTTCAGTGTTACAACACTCCTTGCCTCCGTTTTCTTTTTGTAATTCTTTATTTCTCAACTTTTTCTTAAACGTCTTTTCTGCAACTTCGTTTGGATTTCTTGTATCTTTTGATTTCTGTTTTTTCTAGTCTCTCCAATATTAAAAAAAAAAAATTAAAGAAGTTCCTGAACCTGCTGCTTCTGCATTTGCGGGAAGCAAAATCTGTTCCCTAAAGTTGTTCCAAACACCATAAAAAGATAGTCTCCTGCTTGATCTGTGTTGAAGTACTAAGGCAAGCTAGTTGTTGCTGGGAGATCTAAGGCTACTACCTTGAAACCACAAAGTTCCACATCAACTACTGTAAGTTTGAAAACATAGATTGATGCCGAAGTCAGAAATTGATGTGTATTTACAAGGTTCAATTTGTGTTTTACTTTCTACAGTGTATTCAGAGTATAAAGAGCAACCAGGGGAAAAGAAAAAAAGAAACATTTTCCGAACTTGTTGAGTGCAAAATTACTGAAGGTGTGTTCGATCTCCTTAGTTTTAGTGTGTTATTCTGACAACTTTTGTGCTCCTCATCTGGTGCTTTGCTTTTTTACTGTTCATTAACCCCATCAGTCTGGTCGGACTATGGATCAGGGCGGGCTGTAGCTGTCGCCGGGCGCCGCTGTCCCACTGCCAGGAAGCTGTCGTTCTTGATCAGGCCACCGAGTCATCTGAAGTGTTGGTACAGTAGCTCAAACATTTATGCTTGGTCTTTCTTTTTCTATGTGCGATTTTTACAGTTATTGAGCTTTCTTTTTAAAATTTTAAGCAAACAAACGGGAGCAGGATTCTCTCCGGCTCCTCCATTCTATTTCCGATTCTCTCCGCGCAAGTGTAGAAGTTTTTTAATTTTTTTATTTCCCACCTGTGGATGTGAGGGTAAGATGGAAGCAGTAGAGAACCCACACTCAAACCTAGCCTAGCCTTTTCTATTTATCTTAAAAGTAAAACTTTTATTATTTATTTTTAATTTTGAACATTATGATTATAATTTTTGTTTTTAAAATATAAAATATTATAATTTAAAATTTTATTTTTTATTTAAATTTAAAAAAAAAAAATAAAAACGCGCTTATATGCTTGCTCTCTTAACCTTTTAAATAAATAAAGGTTGGATTCTAAAAAATAATTGTTTTTAGAGTAATCTGGTTTATATGGGTTAAGGACCATATGAAATTTTTGTATAATTTTTATAAAATAACTATGCAAATTAATTGTATTTATTTAATATTTAATTTTTTAATAATTTTTATGAATTTTGTTTTGATAATAAAATATTAAAAATAAAGATAATCTTTTGACATGTAATTTTTTTTTAAAAATTATGAACTCTGAACTATTTAAAGAATATTTAAATAATTAATTTATATAAGTTAAAAAATTAATATTAAATTTGAACTAGTCATGTTAAATATAAATTATTCAACTTGAACATATTTAATAAATTTTTTTATAATTTTTCATTTTAATAAAAATAAAATAGAATTTAAAATATTTAATCTGGTTTATCTATATTAAATCTGAGGGGTTGGGAGGAGGAGGGAGTGGTTCTGTTATCTTATTTTGATTTGATTTGATTAGATTATTATTTTTTATTTTTTGAAATTTTTATTAAAATAAATTTGGAATTTTTGGTCATGATGTTGGATTGAAATTTCTACAGGTCTTTTAATAATAAAAAAAATTTCTACAAGTCTGCAAGGCAGACCTGGAATCAGGAAGGACCTGTTAGCTACAGCTGCAAGTCTGCGATGTCAAGACCTTGAGCCGGGAAGGACCGGTTAGCTACATTTATAAGTCACAAGGTGAAAAGTTATCAAAGATTTAATAAAAAACAAATATTATATGATATTTGGTTCCAGGGGCGGAACTAGGTTGAAGCAGGGTAGGGGACCAAGCTCAAATAAAATTTATTTTATATATTGATGATTTATTTTTTAATTTTTTTAATGTTTAAAATAAAAATTTAATTAAATTTTTTTTACAATATGGAAAAATCATAACAGAAGAATCATTTAAAATTATATCCTATTCTTTAAAAAAAATTAAAATTAAGTCATATGTATAATTTATGCATATGATAGAAACACAAAAAAAAAAACGATATGCTTATGTACTGAAATCAATAATATTTGCAAACTAAATAAGAAAAACGAACTTATTAAAGTAATTACTTAATTTTTATAATAATAATAATAATAATAATAATAATAATAATTTATTCAAGAAATTTTTTGAACAATCTTGTAAAAAACTAACATATTCCTTATGAATATTAAAGTTCACTCTTTTTTGTTAATAAAAAATAATATATATTAATCATGTGTCGATAATAAAATATAGTATGCATTTTATATTTATTTATTTGATAAACAAATAAAAAATTAGAATTATACAAATATAGGAATGAGAGGGACAGTTTTAAACTTTGTGCACAAATGTATGTGAGAGGGACAGGGTTGAACCCCTCAACTCCATATACAGTCATACACGTTAACCCCATCACCCCACAACTACATGAAAAGGCCATGTGGCCCCCTCAGGGTGTGCGTGGTTCCGTCCCTGTTTGATTCCAACTGCCAATCATAAAAAATACTTTATTATTTAATATATTTGAAGTTTTAAATTTTATATTTTATAAGAAAAACATAACTTTTGATTCTTGTATAAATTTATAGCATTATGTTATATGATGAGATGGCACTGTATTGAATTAATCAGGACATTTTTTGCATAAGATAAAAATCTTGACCCACAATGACAGGAATTCATTTAGCAAGTGCTATCATTAGAACAGTTTTCATCAAAAAGAATTTGTTTTTTTTTTAACCTCTAATTCAGATTGCCAATTCATTGAGTTTTAAATATGTTAACATTTTCATTATTGTTGTTGGTGAAACATTAGATAATATAAAAGTTATTAGTGTCACATCATCATTCTTTTGACATATTTAAAAATAAAGGGATTAATATTGTAGATAGGAAAAACATAGAAGGACCTGAAACATAAGAAAGTGTACGAATCAAATAAAAAGAGGGGATAAAATTATGAGGATTAATAATTATGTTTTTTTCATTATATATATATACACATGCAGATTCCTAAAAATGATTTATTAATGTTTGGTTATTTTAAAATATTGCAAGGTTTTTCAAAAAGGAGAATGATAATATTGAAATTTAAAAAATAGACTGCTCATTATTCCATCATATTTTTAACAGGAAGAATCAAAGTGAAATCTATAATTTATTTTTTAAAAATAAATTATAAATATTTATTTAAATAATTGTAAATTCAAAAATTTCAATTAAAAATAGGATATTTAAATTTTAAATATAACTTTTAATATGTAAATAAAATTAAGATATTTCTTTTTTAAAGATGGAAAATGATAATCAATTTATTTATATAATTGTAATTTTAATCTTAATTTAATTATTATTTTTTAAAAATATTAATTTTTTATTAAATTATTTTGCATCATCTAGTTTCCTTGCTGCGTCCGTAATAAAAATTGTTGAGTATAAAGGTCCGTTTATTGAACTAAAAATGATGGATGTCTTTGTCATTTAACTCTTTCTTTAGTATTTTCACCAACCAAATGTAAGCAGCTGAGAACGCTTTTTCTTCGTGTTCGTCAAATGCTTGACATGACATGACGCAGTTACTTACTCATTTCAAAAACAGTACAATGCTCGTTGCTGACATAGACTTGACTCCCCTCCCTTCTTAACTGAGCTGGTGGTCACTTTGCCGCACATCCCGACCAAAGCTTCTGATTCGCTTTGTCTTTCATAATTTCAGTTCATAGCTCTTCGACTCTCGCTTCTTCTGTGTTCCTTTTGCCTTCGTATTCTGAGTCTGCTGCTTCTGCATTTGTGGGAAGCAAAATCTGTTTCCTAAAGTTGTTCCAAACACCTTTAAAAGATAGTTTCATGCTTGATCTGTGTTGGTCTGTTGGAGCACCAAGGAAAGCTGATTATTACTCGGGGGTCTGAGGTTAGTACCTTAAAATCGCAAAGTTCCACGTCAGTTTCTGTAAGTTTGAAACTATAGAGTCATGCCGAAGTCAGAAATTGATGTGTACTTACAAGGCTCAATTTGTGGTTCCTTTTTTGCAGTGTATTGTTGTCACCTCTCAAAATATAAAGAGCAACCAGAGAACGAAAAAAAAACAAAGAAACATTTGCCAACCTTATTGAACGCAAAATTGCTAAAGGTGTGCTTGGTCTTCTTAGTTTTAGTCTGTTTTTCTGACTTTTTTTGTTTTCCTGTTCTTGCGCTTTGCTTTTTACCACTCACTAGCCCTATCAGTCTAATTGGACTATGAATCAGGTGGGGCTCTAGCAGTCGTCGGTCGTCACTGACTCACCACTAGGAAGCTGTCGCCATCGATCAGGCCGCCGAGCCATCTGGAGTTTTGGTACAGTAGCTCAAACATTTATGCTTGGCCTTTGTTTTGCTGTCTGATTTTTGATGGTTGCTAAGCTTTCATTTTAAAATTTTTCGCAAACCTAGCCTATAATTTAAAAGGGCGACATACATCCACGCTTACTAACTTGTTATCCACGCTTACTAACTTGTTTTCAGTGGATTCGAACCCAGCTCTCTTCTAAACTGAAGGACTAGCCGTTGTCTTGTCCCACTTTTGAGGTTAGCCTTCCTCCGTTCCTTCTTTCACTCTCCTGCACATGTAGATTCTTTTGATAGACATTTAATATTAATTTTTTAATGATTTTTATAAATTTTATTTTGATAACAAAGTATTAAAAATAAAGATAATCTATAAATATTTTTTTAAATAAATTCTGAGTTAAAATTTTTAAATTGATTTATGATATATTTGGATGGTTAACTTATAAAAAAATTTAATTAAATTTAAACAATTCGTATTAAATATAGACTATCTAACATGTTGATCAGCTTGAAAATAAATTTCTTAATAAATATAAAATTAAAATTAAAACATTTACTTTAGTTTGTCAGATTAAATGGGGTCGACGAGGTGACGGCGACTGTGCGACTTTATCCCTTTGAAACTGTAGTTTTGAGTGCCTTACATTGATTTTATTTTTTTTTTAATTTTTAATTCTTTATTTAAAAAAATTTAGACATGTGAAAGGTTATAAAAAATTAATCATAAAATTTAATCATAAAATATAATTTTTTATTTATTACTTAATATATCTATATTTATAATGTTATGTAAATACTGTCGGATGAGTGCCCATCCAACTTTTTCTTTTTTTTTATTTGTTGTTGCTTTTTCGTTTTTCTTTTATTTGTTACTGTTACGGATGGTACTGTATATTGTTGGCCATCTGTGACTCTTTTTTTTAATTTGTTATAGATCTATAGCATCCATCTAACTGTTTCCTTATTTTTAATTTATAGATCTATAGCATCCATCTGGGATTTTCTCGTTCAATAGTATTCACATGGATCTTGCTACTAGTTTGATTGAAAAGCTTCTAGATTATACAATAAATGCTTTGGGACGGCGACTTGGTTATATGATTTTCTAGTGCAGCAACATTGATGTGCTAAGATAGTGTCACCGTCTCTGCTTTTGTTATTTCAGTTGTGTTGACACTATTAGTTAATTTTGCTCAAGTTGCACGGTCTTTCACGGGTCCGGATCTCGTCCCTTAGCATCCATAAATTCTACACCTTTAATGCATCATATCACGAGATTTTTTTTTAAACAACAGTAAAATCTCTAAGGAGAAAATTAATGACAATAAGATCTCTAACAAATTTTTTTAAAAATGACTTGTAGAAATCGATTCAGATAATTTGCAACCAGGAATTTTAATTGCATATAGTTTTAATTAGAATTTAAATATCTTACAAGTTTTTTAAAAAAAGGAGAATGACAGTGTTAAAAATTTAAAAATAGACTGTTTATTCAAATATATTTTTAATTGTGAGAGTGACAGTTAAGTCCTAACAGAGGGAGTATTTAAATATCTTACAAGTTTTTTAAAAAAGAAGAATGACAGTGCTAAAAATTTAAAAATAGACTGTTTATTCAAATATATTTTTCATTGTGAGAGTGACAGTTAAGTTTTTTTTTTTTTTCGAGAAAGAAGTTGGAGATTTATTTAAAGAATTTCAAATAATATATTTAAATTCTAAATGTAACTCTCAGCCCACAATTAAAATTCCGGTTTGCAATTGTCCGAGTCAATTTTTATAACTCATTAATTAAATAAAAATTTTTTTAGAGATCTAATTATAATTAGTTTCTTCTTTTGGAACTTTAATATTATTCTCTTTTGGGAAAACACTCTTTTGGCTTGTGCACTTTTCTTGGATTTTCTTGTAGGTCCTTGTAATTTTTTTAGGTGTTATAGGTCTCTACACTCTTCTCCATTAGCAATGTTGTTATTTTTGTGCATAGATGGTGTTAATAATGTTGACATGTCTATTTATATTGTAAATTTTATGCTTACTTGTCAAACTGATGCTGACATGGATTTTTTAATAAGCAAAAATCAGGGAAAAAAATGTCTGCAGAATTTAAAGAATAGCAAATAAGATATTTGAATTCTAAATGTAACTCTCAGCCTACAATTAAAATTCTGGTTTGCAATTGTCCGAGTCAATTTTTATAACTCATTAATTTACTAAAATTTTTGTCAGAGATCTAATTATAATTAGTTTCTTCTTTTGGAACTTTAATATTATTCCCTTTTGGGAAAACACTCTTTTGGATTGTGCACTTTTCTTGGATTTTCTTGTAGGTCCTTGTACTTTTTTTAGGTGTTATAGGTCTCTACTCTTCTCCAGTAGCAATGTTGTTATTTTTGTGCATAGATGGTGTTAATAATGTTGACATGTCTATTTATATTGTAAATTTTATGCTTACTTGTCAAACTGATGCATTCATGGTTTTAATAAGCAAAAATCAGGGAAAAAAAATGTCTACAGAAGATGAAATAAAAAGGCCAACTTAGACTTTTTAAATGATCAACACCACAATTTCATAACCCTTTGGTCATCCTTTTTACTTCATCTGATGTAGACTTTTTTTTTAATTTAATTTTTGCTTATCAGAAATTTCAAGTTAACATCAGTTTGACATATAATTACAAAATTAACTTGATTAATTGACATGTCAGCATTACCAAAAGTAATGTGCCACACAATGTCCCTATACTAAAAAAAAAAAAATACAAGGACTTGTACCAAAATTAGAGCAAAATGTGGGGATCAAAAGTAATGTGATTATTTAAATGGATTATGAGCCTTGTGATGTGGCACAATATGACTTTATGGATTATTTGAATGGATATGATTTACGAATGTTGAGAGATGTTGGGAAAAGAGACAATGAGAGGGATCTTTTATCTATTATATCTCATTAGTTTTCAATTCTCACTTTTTTTTTATTTTTAGTACCTAACCCTTGGATTTTTAGGGCTTGCTTGAAAACCTATTCTAAGAATAATTTTCTGTTATCCAGAACATGAGAACAAAAAATTCTATTTGGTAACGTGTTTTTAAAAAGTGTTTTGAAAAATAAAAAAATAAAATATTGTCCTGGAGAATAGAAAAATAGAAACAACTTTTAGATGGTCTGTGATTATTGTTCTAGAAAATAAGGGAGAATTAAAAAAACAGATATTTTCATTATTTTTTTGTTCTCAAAACATGTTCTATAAAACATCAGTTCTTAAAATAAAAAGATAAAAATAGTTTCAAATAGTCCTTAGTTTCTTTTTCTTAAGTGTGAGTTCATTAATGTGTGTGCCTTGTCTTTGTTAACGAGAGAGAGCTTTAATATTCTTTTTTTAATCAAATCTCATTTTTATATAAATGGCCATTGTTATAGAAAAAAATTCAATAAATATGTTTTACTAGAAGCATTCATCACACAAACGAATAGATTGATCCTTATATTATAAATTACTAATTACTGATAGTAACATTAATGAACTTAGGAAGCATTGATACATACCTAGTTAGGATATTGAAGAGAGGTAATGTTGATGAAACATCCAAGCTTCAATGATCCTGATTTCATTATTGGAGATTAAAAGCTAAGTAGCTAAACACATAAAAATGATAAACTCATCTAGTTTGAGTTTATAAATTAGTTGATATGATTTTGTAAGCTAAACAAATGAAAATGATAAACTCAAAGGTAAACTTTTGAAAGTTTATATTTAATTTGAGTTTATGAATGAGTTAACACGATTTTATAAGTTAGAAACATAAAAATGTTAAACACGTAGAGTCAACTCAATAGTTTAATAACTATGTTTGCTACACTTTTTGTTAATTTTTAATCTTTAGTGGGATTTTCTTGTTCAACAGCATTCACATGGATCCCGCTACTTGTTTTATTGAAAAGCTTCTAGAAAAGCTTCTAGATTATACAATAAATGCCTTGGGACGGCAAGTTGGCTACATGATTTTCTATCGCAACAACATTGATGAGCTAAGGAGTCAAATACAAGATCTCAATCAAAAGCAAGAAGCTATGCAACATTTAATCGACGAGGCTATAAGAAATTGTGAAAGAATTGAACTGCAAGTTGAAAGTTGGATGAGTGGAGTGGATGATATAAAAATGCAAGCAGAACAATTCTTTAATGAAGAAGGCCAATCACAAACTAGATGTAGCAGAACTTCATGCCCAAATTTATGTTCATGTTATCAACTGAGTAGAAGAGCAAAGAAGATGGCACTGAAAGTCAAAGACCTTGCAAAGAAAAAGAAAGACTTAAACAAAGTTTCACATCTTCCTTCTCCCAAATGCAGGCACTTAATAGATGACAAAATGAATGAAGGGCTTGATTCAAGGTTGCAAATTATAGATCAAGTTATGGAGGCATTGCGAAATTCGAGCATTAATATGGTCGGGTTGTGTGGGCTTGGTGGCATTGGCAAGACCACAATAGCTAAAGAGGTAGCAAAGAAGTTGGAGAATAAAAAAATGTTTAGGAAGGTGATCATGGTAACTATTTCTAAGGACATGAATATTGTAGAAATTCAAAGGCAGATTGTTGAGATGTTGGGTATGCGACTCGAGGAAGTAAATGAAGAAGTAAGATCTTCTCGTCTTTTTGATAGGTTGAAGCAAGAGGAGAATATGCTCCCAATATTGGATGATCTTTGGGGAGAACTTGATTTTGGAAAAGTTGGAATTCCCTTTATTGGGGACAAAAATAATAACAAAAAGAATGAAGGTTGCAAAATCTTACTGACTTCAAGAAATAAAACACTACTTTCAGACGTAATGAAATGTGAAAAGATCATCGGAGTGGGTGTTTTGCAAGAAGAAGAAGCACAGGAGTTGTTCAAGAGGATTGCTGAACTTTCTATTGAATCAAGCAATCCTGGTTTGATGTCTATAGCCGGTGAGATTGTTCAAAAGTGTGGAGGGTTGCCGCTAGCAATTGTTACAGCTGCAAAAGCATTGAGGAATAAAGATCAAAATATATGGGAAGATGCCCTTACACGATTGAGAAATCCTTTACGGAGAAACATCACAGGAATTAAAGAGGTGGATCAGATTTTAAGGTTGAGCTACGATCAGCTAACCAAAGAGAACCAACATATTTTCTTGTTCTCATCCATGTTGTCTCATGATCCCTTAATTCAAGACTTGCTCATGTACTCTGTGGGGTTAGGTTTTCTTAAACACATTGAAAACATGGAAGATGCTCGAGTCGGAATATCTGCTGTTGTAAGTAAGCTAAAATCATTGAATTTATTTCTTGATAGCTTTTCTAGTCAACATTTTACCATCCATGATGTCATTCGGGATGTTGCACTATCTATTGCATCCAATGAATTATGTGCCTTCATTTGGAGACATAAAAGGTTGAATGCATGGCCAGAGCAGAATTTGCTAGAAGGCTACAAGGGAATTTGCTTAGAAAAAAGTGACATTAGGGATCTTCCAGAAGAGTTACTTGCTCCAAGGTTAGAATTCTTCCTATTAAATAGTGAAAATCGTGATTTGGCCATACCGGATACCTTTTTCAAATCTACAAAAGATCTTAAATTGTTGAGTTTTATCAATGTGTGCTTTTCATCATTGCCATTTCTTAATTCTCTAAAAAAGCTCAAAACTTTATGCCTCCATTCTTGTTTGTTGAAAGACATGACTCAGGTTGGAAGCTTGAAGCAATTAACAACCTTGAGTCTTGCTTATTCTGAAATTGAACATTTGCCATTTGAATTGGCGATGTTGACTTCATTACAAATGCTAAATCTAGCCCATTGCACTAAACTTAAAGTGATTCCACCAAAACTCCTATCTAGCTGGGAAAAATTGGAGGTTCTGAGCATGGAAAACAGCTTTAACCAGTGGGAAGCCAAAGGATCGAGTGAATGTAATGTAAATGCAAGTCTTGTTGAGTTAAAGGACTTGCCAATCTCTTCTCTAGATATTTGTATTCCTGATCCCTCTATTTTGCCAGAGAATTTGTTCTCAGATAAGAAATTGAAGAGATACAGAATAATTATTGGAGAGAATTGGAGATGGGATTGCAATCACGAAACTTCAAAGACATTGAAACTTGAGCTAAATGAAAATGTCCATTCGAAGCATGGGGTTCAGAAGTTATTGGAAGGAGTTGAAGATTTGTATTTGTGTGGATCCAATGGTCTTGAACATGTTCTTCACAATAGATTTCCATATTTAAGGCATCTTCAGATTAAAAGTAATGACGATGTTGAATATATTGTTTTGAGCTCAACCCATCAAGAAGTTGCCCTCCCAATGCTTGAAACTTTGAACCTTGAAAAGTTGAATGTGCTAAAGAAGTTATGTCAAGGACCAATTGCGCCCACCTTCTTCCAAAACCTAAAAGTAATCAAAGTGAGTGGTTGTCAACAGTTGAAGTGGATTTTCTCAGCTTCAATGATTGGATCATTTTCGCAGCTTGTTGAGATTGAAATTAGAGATTGTGACTCTTTGAAAGAGGTAGTGACATCTGCTATTGAAGACTCATCTGATCAGCCAAAATTTGCTAATGACGTCATTGTTTTCAAGAAGTTACGCACTTTGAAGATGGAAAGATTGCCAGTTCTTATAGATTTCTACATGCAGGATAGAGCAGCAAATAACCATTATAATACAGCTTCGAAATCACTCTTCAACAATAAGGTATGTTTAGATTATTTTATTCTTACTTTTTCACTAGAATTACTTTGCTATATGGCTTTTGTGGCACTTTGTAGGTTTTCATTTACTTTTTAAATTACTTAAAATAAGCCAATAAAAGCAAGAAACTAACTGTAAGTATTAATTTGTTTTGAATCCCCAAAAAAAAGGCTTGAATTTCGATGTTTGGGAGTTTATGTTTTTATGATTTTTTTTAATGAAACGAGCAATGTATAATGCTAGCTAACAAGAAGAAATGGCGAAACTAACGAGAAGACCGAGAACTTAAAAAGCCAACACAAATCTTTTAAGAAAACAAAGAGAGATTATTTTCTGAATATAAAGTAGGCATAGCATTCGCAAGAAATTTTATATTCAATTTTTAGATTTATATATTGTTTAATTTTAAATCACTTTTCATCAAGAAGATATGTTTAAACTATTTTGATCTTATTTTTACTTTTTTTAACTACTTAAAATCTTGAGACTTATCAAAATAATTTTCACTAGCATTACTTTACTATTAGGTTGTTATAGCAATTTGCAATTTTTTTATTTTTTTAATTACTATTTTTCTTATGAACTTCATATTTTACTTCCCCTTCTATGTTGTTGTAGCACTATAAATTTTAATTTTACACATCGCCGCAAATTGATGGATTATAATATTTTTGAAATTAAGTTAATCATGCCTTTTCAATCACTCAAGACACCTACATTTTTAGATAAGGGAAGAAAATGACTGTGTTATTGTGTAGAGAGAGTGTTGAAAGTAGTTGATTTGTATATGTGAATTAAAAAGAAAACTTAAATTAATTAGAATGTATTAGTTTCTTGTTCAATTTTTCTTGTGAAGACAATTCAATGCTGCCATTGTATTGGTTTTGTGTTTGAATTTAAACTTTTATCAATTTCTTGAAAAAAAATGATAGTAGATATGAAATCTTTGTTTAGACATGTAAACAATCTTGCTCGAAAAATAAGCCTACATACCAAAAGTGAATTTCTTTTAATAATCATATTTTCTTTAAACAGGTGTTATTTCAGATGTTGGAGCTATTGGAACTGTCAGATTTAGACAATTTGATTTCATCTATATGGAATGATCAGCCTTCCGACAGCTCGTTTAGTAACTTGAAAAGACTAGATGTGGATAGCTGTGGCTTTGTGGTATTAGTGCCCTTCCAAGTTCTAAGATCCTTACATAGTTTGGAAGAACTAGCAGTGGGACAGTGTGAGAACTTGGAGGTGGTGTTTGACTTAGATGATTTGAATGACTGTAAAGAGAGACAGTCATCTTCAGTGGTTCTACCATTGAAGAAGTTAAGCTTATGGAGTTTGCCAAAATTGAAGAATGTGTGGAGCAATCACCACCAAGGAAATGTCTCCTTCCAAAGTCTAAGCCAAATTGATTCAAAATATTCTCTGCTCTCCTGCAACAAGGTACCTTTTTAATGAGCTCTAATAAAAGAACAAAAAACTGACTTTAAGCATTAAAAAATAATAATGAAACACTGAATTTACTACCTAAAAAAAACTTTGAAATCACTTTTGAACAACAAATTATGTTTAATCTTTTTACTTTTTCTCGTTTTAACTTCCTAAACTATTGTGAAATTGTGTAGGTTTTTGTAGGTTTTCTTTGTTTTTTTAAAACTACTTAATATAAGCTAGTAAAAGAGAAATTAACTGTTAGCGTTAAAATTAAAAATGAAAACTACAAATTATTTTATTCTTACTTTTTTTTGTTTTAACTTCCTAATTTGTGAAATTCGTTTTTCACTAGAATTATTTTGCTATGGACCTTTTGTTGCACTTTGCGTGTTTTCTTTTCTTTCCAAAATTTCTTAAAATAAGCTAATGAAAGAGAGAAACTGATTGTAAGCATTAAATTAAAAAAAAATTAAACATCAAATTATTTTTTTTGCATTCAAAATAAAAAAAGCTTGAATTCAAGCAATGTAAAATGCAAGCTAATGTAGGAGAAAAGAAAAACTCTCTAGAAGTTTGAGAAGTTAAAAAGCCTAGACTCAAAACTTAAAAAAAACACAGAGACGTTATTTTTTGAATATGAAGTAAGCACAGCATTCACTTGAAATTTTATATTCAATTTTCATGTTTATATTTTGTTCTTAAATTTTTGAATTTCTTTTCATCAAAAATATCTGTTTAAATTATTTTGTTCTTATTTTTCCTTGTTCTACCAATTTAAAAACTTGAGAATTATCTTCGAAAATCATTTTCACTAGCATTACTTTAGTATTGGGCTATGATGGAATTTTGCAGTTTTTTTAATTACTTTTTTATTATGAACTTCATATTTAACTTCCCCTCTACGATGTTGTACCTCTATAAATTTCAATTTAACACATTGTAGCAAACTGATGGATTATAATTTTTTAAAATTAATGTGACAATGCCTTTTCAACTACTCAATACTCGTAAATTTGTAGATCTAAGGGAAGAAAATGATTGTGTTATCTCTTAGAGATAGTGTTGAAAGTAGTTGATTAGTATACGTTAATTAAACAGAAAACTTAATTAATTAGAATGTATTGGTTACTTGTTCGATTTTCTATTTAAAGACATTTTTTATGCGGCAATTTTAACATTATTTTATTGTTTTTATGTTTGAATTTAAACTTTTATCAATTTCTTGAAAAATATGATAGTAGATATGAAACCTTTGTTTAGACATGTAAACAATCTTGCTCGAAAAATAAGCCTACAGATCAAAAGTGAATTTCTTTTAATCATATTTTCTTTAAACAGGTGTTATTTCCGATGTTGGAGCGATTGGAACTGTCAGATTTAGACAATTTGACTTCATCTAGATGGAATGATCAGCTTTTTGACAGCTCAGTTAGTAACTTGAAAAGACTATTTGTGTGGTCGTGTGGCTTTGTGATATTAGTGCCCTTCCAAGTTCTAAGATCCTTGCATAGTTTGGAAGAACTAGAAGTGGAAGAGTGTGAGAAGTTGGAGGTGGTGTTTTATTTAGAAGATTTGAATAATTGTAAAGAGCCACAATCATCATCAGTGGTTGTGCCATTGAAGAAGTTACGACTATCTAGGTTGCCAAAACTGAAGAATGTGTGGGGCAATCAACACCAAGAAAATGTCTCCTTCCAAAGTCTAAGGCAGATAGAAGTTGTTAATTGTGACAGCCTGATGAGTGTGTTTCCTGCATCTATAACCAAAGGCATGCTTCATTGTCTTGAACAACTTGAAGTACAAGATTGTGCTGATTTGGAAGTAATTGTTGCAAAGGATCAAGTTTCAGAATCTCTTGATGCTGCCTGTGTGTGTCCTAGGCTGACTTCCCTTGAGCTTTTTGACCTTCCAAATTTGAGGAACTTCTATGCACAAAGACATAAATTAGAATGGCCCAACGTTCAACAGTTAGAAATTGACGCTTGTGGTGAAATACAGATATTTGAAAAGGTCTCAAGTTCATCAGAAATACATAGGGAAGAGCGTACAATAGACTCAATATATCCTTTGCTCTCCTGCAACAAGGTACCTTTCCAATGAGCTGTAGTAAAAGAACGAAAAACTATAAGCATTAAAAAAATAATGAAACACCGAATTTACTACCTAAAAAAAAAACTCTTGGAAATTGATGCTTTTAAACATATGAATGATTCTTATGATTAGAATATTTTGTAGAATGTAGTTTAGAATTTGATGATCAGGTTTTAAAAACTAATTTTAAGCATTAAAAAAAATGGAACACTGAATTTATTATCCAAAAAAAATTTTGAAATCACTTTTGGACAATAAATTCAAAATTAATTATTGGGAAAATTTGTTTTCACAAGAATGACATTGACATGTGGCTATCGTGGCATTTTGCAAGTTTTTTTTTTTTGTTTTCTTTTTAAACTACTTAATATAAGCTAATAAAAGAGAGAAATTAACTATTAGTGCTAAAATAGAAAATGGAAACTACAAATTATTTGTTTTGTATTCTGAAAAAACCGAGCCATGATTTTTATATAAAGTTTTTCTTCTTCTATATATTTTTTTGAAAAAATTAATTTTTTAATCCTTTAATTTTTAACTCACTTTTAACTTAGTCCCTCAACTATGACTCTTTACGACTCAGTGTCTCAACTTTTGATTCACCTATAATTCAGTCCTTATTTTTAATTTTTTTCAAAAATTTCTTATCAAATAAAAGGGATAAAAAATATTCATATATTGTTCTAAAATACCTTCCTCTTGCTTATTAATGTGAGATCTAAGCTAACATGAAGAAAAAAATTAATAAAAGTTGAGGGACTGAGTTATAGGCGAGTCACAGTTGAGGGACTGAGTCATAGTTGAGGGTTTGAGTTACAAGTGAATTAAAAATTAGGAGACTAAAATATTAATTTTCCTTATTTTTTTATATGAAACGGGTACTGCTTGTTTTGCACCCTAACTTTGCGATAGAGCAACAAATAGGTATTGCATTAATTAAAACTTTGGAATCACTTTTCAACCAAGCGGTATGTTGAGATTATTTCATTCTTACCTTTTCTTGTTTTAACTTCCTAATTGTTGGAATTCATTTTTCACTAGAATTATGTTGCTATGAGGCTTTTGTGGCGCTTTGCGTGTTTTCTTTTATTTTCTAAATTACTTAAAATAAGCTAATGAAAGAGGGAAAATAACTGTAAGCATCAAATTAAAAAAAATTAAACATCAAATTATTTGTTTTGCATTCAAAATAAGAAAGCTTGAATTCAACGTTTTGAATTTTTTTTTCTTTTATTTTCTTTTTAATGGATGCAACACGCAATGTATAATGCAAGCTAATGTAAGGGAAAAGAAAAACTCTCTAGAAGTTTGAGAAGTTAAAAAGGTTAGACTCAACTTAAAAGAAAAAGAAAACAAAGAGGTTATTCTTTGAATATGAAGTAGGCATAGCATTCACTTGAAATTTTATATTCACTTTTCACATTTATATTTTGTTCTAAAATTTTTAAATCACTTTTCATCAAAAAGATCTGTTTAAATTATTTTATTCTTATGTTTCCTTGTTTCAGCAATTTAAAAACTTGAGACTTATCTTCGGAAATCATTTTCACTAGCATTACTTTACTATTAGGCTATGATGGGATTTTGAAGTTTTTTTATTTTTTAATTACTTTTTTATTATGAACTTTATATTTCACTGCCCCTCTACAATGTTGTAGCTCTATAAGTTTCAATTTTACACATCGCTACAAATTGATGGATTGTAATTTTTTAAAATTAATGTAACTATGCCTTTTCAACTACTCAATATAGGTAAATTTGCAGATCTAGGGGAAGAAAATGATTGTGTTATATCTTAGAGATAGTCTTGAAAGTAGTTGATTAGTATACGTGAATTAAAAAGAGAACTTAATTAATTAGAATGTATTGGTTACTTATTCGATTTTCCTTTTAAAGACATTTTTGATGCTGCAATTTTATCATTATTTTATTGGCTTTATGTTTGAATTTAAACTTTTACCAATTTCTTGAAAAATATGATAGTAGATCTGAAATCTTTGGTTGGACATGGAAGCAATCTTTCATTAAAAGTAAGCCAACAGATCAAAAGTAAATTTCTTTTAAACATATTTCTTTTAATAGGTTTTATTTTCTATGTTGGAGTTATTGGCACTGTCAGATTTAGACAATTTGATTTCGTTTAAATAGGATGATCGATTTTCAGTCAACCTGTTTAGTAACTTGAAAGAACTAGTTGTGGAGAGGTGTGGTTCTATGAGATTAGTGCCCTTCCAAGTTATAAGATCCTTAAACAGTTTGGAAGAACTACAAGTGACAGATTGTGAGAAGTTGGAGGTGGTGTTTGATTTAGAAGACTTGAATGATTGTGAAGAGGGACAATCATCATCAGTGGTTGTGCCATTGAAGAAGTTAATACTAGAGGATTTGCCAAAACTGAAGAATGTGTGGAGCAATCACCACCGAGGAAATGTCTCCTTCCAAACTTCAAGGCAAATTGATTCAAAAAATCCTCTGCTCTCTCGCAACAAGGTACCTTTCTAATGAGCTCTAATATAAGAACAAAAAACTAACTTTAAGCATTAAAAAAATAATGAAAGACCGAATTTACTACGTAAAAAAAAACTTTGAAATCACTTTTGAATGACAAATGATGTTTAAATTTTTTTACTTTTACTTTTTCTTGTCTTAACTTCCTAAAAAGTTCAAAATTAATTATTGGCAAAATTCGTTTTCACAAGAATGACATTGCTATGTGGCTATCGTGGCGTTGTGTAGGTTTTTGTAGGCTTTCTTTGTTTTTTTCAAACTACTTAATATAAGATAGTAAAAGAGAAATTAACTGTTAGCGTTAAAATAAAAAATGAAAACTACAAATTATTTGTTTTGCATTCTGAAAAGAATGAGCCATGATTTTTATATGAAGTTTTTCTTCTTCTATATTTATTTTTTATATGAAACGGGTATTGCTTGCTGACTTTGTGATAGAGCATCAAATACAGATTGCATTAATTAAAACTTTGGTATCACTTTTCAACCAAACGGTATGTTGAGATTATTTTATTCTTACCTTTTCTTGTTTTAACTTCCTAATTTGTGAAATTCATTTTTCACTAGAATTATTTTGCCATGAGGCTTTTGTGGCACTTTGTGTATTTTCTTTTATTTTCTAAATTACTTAAAATAAGCTAATGAAAGATAGAAAATAACTGTAAGCATCAGATTAAAAAAAAAAAAAATTAAACATCAAATTATTTGTTTTGCACTCAAAATAAAAAAGCTTGTATTCAACGTTCAGATTTTTTTTTTTGGTTTTCTTTTCTTTTTTCTGGATGAAACAAGCAATGCATAATGGAAGCTAATATGGGAGAAAAGAAAAACTATTAGAAGTCTGAGAAGTTAAAAAACCTAGACTTAAAACTTAAAAAAAAAAACAATGGTTATTTTTTAAATATGAAGTAGGCATAGCATTCACTTGAAATTTTATATTCGCTTTTCATATTTATATTTTGTTTTTAAAACTTTTGGATCACTTTTCATCAAAAAGATATTTTTTAATTATTTTGTTCTTATATTTTCTTGTTTCAGCAATTTTAAAACTTGAGACTTATCTTTGGTATTAGGCTATGATGGAATTTTGCAGTTTTTTTTATTTTTAATTACTTTTTTATTATGAACTTTATATTTTACTTCCCCTCTAAGCTCTATAAATTTTAATTTTACACATCGCCGCAAACTGATAGATTGTAATTTTTTAAAATTGATGTCACTATGCCTTTTCAACTACTCAATACACGTAAATTTGTAGATCTAAGGAAAGAAAATGATTGTGTAATCTTAGAGATAGTGTTGAAAGCAATTGATTACTATAGGTGAATTAAAAAAAGAAAACCTAATTAAGTATGTATTAGTTACTTATTTGATTTTCCTTTTAAAGACATTTTTTATGCTGCAATTTTATCGTTATTTTATAGGCTTTATGTTTGAATTTAAACTTTTACCAATTTCTTGAAAAATATGATAGTAGATGTGAAATCTTTGGTTAGACATGGAAGCAATCTTTCATTAAAAGTAAGCCAAGAGATCAAAAGTAAATTTCTTTTAAACATATTTCTTTAAATAGGTGTTATTTCTTATGTTGGAGTTATTGACACTGTCAGATTTAAACAATTTGATTTCATTTATATAGGATGATCGATTCTCAGTCAACTTGTTTAGTAACTTGAAAGAACTAGATGTGGGGAGGTGTGGCTTTGTGATATTAGTGCCCTTCCAAGTTTTAAGATCGTTACACAGTTTGGAAGTACTACTAATGAATGGGTGTGAGGAGTTGGAGGTGGTGTTTAATTTAGAAGACTTGAATGATTGTAAAGAGGGACAATCATCATCAGTGGTTTTGCCATTGAAGAATTTAAGTCTATGGAATTTGCCGAAACTGAAGAATGTGTGGAGCAATCACCACCGAGAAAATGTCTCCTTCCAAAGTCTAAGGCAGATAGAAGTTGTTAATTGTGGCAGCCTGACGAGTGTGTTTCCTGCATCTATAGCCAGAGGCATGCTTCATTGTCTTGAACAACTTGTAGTTCGAAATTGTGCTGATATGGAAGTAATTGTTGCAACAGATCAAGTTTCAGAATCTCTTGATGCTGCATTTGTGTGTCCTAGGCTGACTTGCCTTGAGTTTAAGCACCTTCCAAATTTGAGGAACTTCTATGCACAGAGACACAAATTAGAATGGCCCCACCTTCATAAGTTATTTATTGACGATTGTGATGAAATAGAGTTATTTGAAAAGGATGTCTCAAGTTCATCAGAAGTACATGGGAAAGAGGGTACAATAGACTCAAAATATCCTCTGCTCTCCTGCAACAAGGGACCTTTCCAATGAGTTGTAATAGAAGAATGAAAACCTTTAAGCATTAAAAAAAATAATGAAACACCGAATTTACTACCTAAAGAAAAAACTCTTGAAATTGATGCTTTTAAACATATGAATGATTCTTATGATTAGAATATTTAGTAGAATGTAGTTTAGAATTTGATGACCAGGTCTTAAAAATGAAATAGTGTAAACTGCATGATAAATACTTTAATTAATCAATAGACTTTTTTTTTTTCTTTCTTTCGATAAGAGGAATTCTAATTTTTGAGTCTTCACACAAAAGAGGTGCACGATGAAGTTGGGGAGGGGAGTGTTTTTTTTTTTTAATTGTTGTAAGCTTTAATTTTATATTTTGTTTTGAAATATAAAGGAGTAAAAACATTGGAATGGCACAACAGAAGATTGGCACTCTAGGAATTCATATTGACTTTAATTTCATCTTAATTACAAGTTTAAGTTAATTTAAAAATTAAAGCATATGCTTTTTTATGTATTGTGCAGGTTATTGACACTCTGGAGGAGTTGAAATTATGTGGAAAAGAAGCGGAGATGATGGGAAGCGGGCAGTTTCCAATGTATAGCTTCCCCAAAGTGAAAGATCTTTTTTTAATTACCAAGAAAGCAACAACTATATCGTACAGATCATTGTTGAACTGCTTCCCAAATTTAGAGCATCTTGAGCTGGATGGTGAGTTTAAGGATCCTTTTGGAGGGCATGATGTTGCTGCACTTCTTTTTCCCTTTCAAAAACTGACTCTTTGCGATATTGCTAATACGATAAGCTTGGGACCATCCTTTGTTTCTTTGACAATACCAAATCTCACACATCTCGAAGTGACAATGTCCGCTAGGGTGACCACTTTGCTAACGTCGCTAGCAGCTCGAAGCTTGGTCCATCTCACACACCTCATAGTTTTACAGAGCAATCAAATAGAAGAAATAATAGCAAAGCAAGAGGGAGAGGATGACGAGGACCAGGATATTATTTTCAGCAAACTGGAGCGTTTACAACTTTATGGCTTGCCAAAATTGAAGAGATTTTGTGGCCATAATTATACCTTCAATTTTCCATTATTGGATGATGTCAATATAGCATATTGTGGTCAACTCTCAACATTCTGTCTTGGAGCTATACATACCCCGCGCCTTCAAAGCATTAAAGTGGATTTTCAAAAACATATTTGGAAGAGCGATCTTAACGAGACCATCCAATATCATTTCACTGGTCAACAGGTATGCACAACATCTACTTGCATTCTTTATTTTCCACTTTTTTAAAATTCCTCACCTCCAAAATTTAGCATTTCACAAATATTTCATACAAATATTCAAGTTTCAACATTCTATCGGCACCTATAAATTATTAACATTTCATATTATATGGCTCCTTTCTAATTGTATACCAATGATGGCTGATGAATGTGGTAGGCTGTGAGTAATCCTATTATAGTTGTGATCATTCTTCTTAGGATTCTTTTATACAGAAGTAAGGGGGCACTAAAATTATTTAAAATATTTTATTTTTATTTTAAAGAATCAAATTTATTTTAGATTGGAAATTAATAATAAAAATTACTCCTCCTACACTATAATATAATTCATTTTTAACTAATTTATATTTTTAAATAAAGTTGGTTAAAGTCTTTATTTTTTAAAAATTTTCACATCTTTTCAATTGTGCCCTTGAGTGTAGCAAATATAACATTTAACTTATTGAAAACACTTTCATTAATTACTCTTTAAAATAAGAGTGTAATTGAAAAAAAAGTATATAACACCTAAACCAACATCCTAAATTTTTGACCATACAAAACTTTTAAAAAATGATTTATATTGTGGTTCAAAAGGGATATAATCATTAGAAAATGTCAAAAAGATCACTAATTGATTATAAAAGATTTTATCTTCAATAAAATAAGAATTAATTTATTTATATAGTTTTTTTTGGCCACCCGTTGATTCATGGTCTAATTTGTCACTCACAAGGATGCTGAGTCATAATTCAAATAGAAGAGCAAGATATGGAATGTTTTCTTTGTTTTAAAATTACAATTTTTTTCAAGTAAACTAATATGATGGTTTGGTATTGCAGGATGGCGTTAATATATAGAAGGGGAGTCCATCATTTATTTGTGCAGGTTTGTAGTTTCAAGCTAGATTTTTTTTTTTTTTTTTGCTAAAGAGCTTTCTCTTTTCTTAATCTATATCTCGTCTTCTTTTTCTTTTTTTTTTTTCCCTACGTTGTCTGATCTTTTCTGTCACTTAAAATTATAGTTTCTTGTTAAAATTTATTTCAACATTTCTTTTCTTGTAGTAGTTTTTATAATATTGACAAAAGCTTCATATTTTAAGAGATGAAACATGCATGTCAATTTTTTTTTCTTCAATACATTTTCTCCATTGTAGTTGAGTTTGATTGAAAAACAGTGAACAATTTTTTTATTTATTTTATACAGACTAGCTATGGTTTAGAAAAATAAGTTGGCACTTTTAAAAATATAAAAAAGAATGATTTTGATAATGATTCTCCCAACTTTTAAACCCAATTTTTCCACAATATATACTATACATGGATATAGGCAGGATATCAACGTAACAGACTCATCTATTCTTCCTTGCTTGATAAATGCAGGTTATGTTTGTGGTGATGTTGACCCTTGATTAAATAAGACGACCAATGTGTTATGATTGGAAGGTTTTCATTCAACTACTGTGTCGTTTGCTTTGTCAAGACATATTGGTATCATTGACATGTGGCTAAGATTATTCTAGAAGATTGGTTTTTGATGAATGCATGGAAAGATATAACAACAATGGAGCTAATGACCTTTTTGTCTTTTGATTCAGATGATCTTTATTCAAAATTCTCTAGAAGTAACAAAACTTCAAGGACCTAGTTGTCCTTTAATAGCTTTAATTTTTTGCACGTATACACCAATGGCATTAGAAATAGGTATATTTTGATCCTTGGAAAACCAGAAGTAGTTCCCTATACTTCCCCAAAGTCAAATTCAAATATCTTTGCTTTCTTCTTCTCTTGCACTTTATCCAGCAATACTAAATGTTAGCTAGAATATATAAATAGTAGTATACAATTGACAATTACAAGGAAGCAAAGCAAGATTGGCCCAATTATACAGTAGTAACACATGCTCATAGATCTCCACATTCCCTTAACAACAAAACCCCAAGTATTGTGTTCGCTTGACTTTATTGAGTCGTTCACATTTCGTGTTTATCGTAATGATGAGCACAGGTGCTCATCTACTTTTTGGGCTCATGTTGATTACTTCTTCAATCAATTTCTACGTTCATTTTAAATTAGTTTTTAGATGTTTTTAATATTATGTTGTTAAAATAAAAATTTATAAAAAACATGAAAATTTTAATTTTAATTTTGAAGGTTGCTTGAATATTCTTTTCAGTTGTAGCATGAGGAATATGTTATTGTGTGTCTCTGTCATATATATATATATATATGTTTAAATATGTAACACAACAACTAATGTTGATTTGTTCTCTAGATCACAACATTTGTTTCTCTCAAGCAAAATGACTTTTTTTTGTATTTATTAATTATGAAATTAATGCTTGTTAAAATAAAACAGTGATTTTTTTTCACAAATATTTAATATATTTTCTATTTGATCTACTATATATTGAAATTAAACTTTTATCAATATTTTGAAAAATAATATGTGGATTAGATTGAGAGTTACATTTTCAGACACTTAAACAAGACTACTGATCAACAGTGATGCTTGTTTATTTTAATCTTTTTTTTCTTTAACAGAGATTGCTTGTTGCCCGACTCTAATTTGAGAGGATGTGCTTTTGTTTCTAAATTAAAATTTACTGACTCTAATTTTCTTTTAAAATTGTCACCTTGAACCTTGCAGAGAGAGATATAATTCATCTCAAAATCCGTTTCTAAATTTAGAGATGAATTTTAATTCATCACTAAAATAATTATATATAATTCATATATTTGTTAAAGGTGGATTATTCTCCCTCTAAATCCGTCTCAAAAATATATATTTTTTAAACAAAATATTTCTCTTCATTCCTCCATTATGTTAATCCTTTGCAAATTTTTGACATTAATTTAATAGCGAGAAAGAAAAATTCATAACAAGATATTGCCTTAAACATAGAACATATAATTTGCTTTAAATACAATAAACAACATATAATAGTTTATAAAAGATGTTACATGGTCTTCTCCTGCCAAAATAAAAGATATCATTGTTCTGCAAATTCTTCAAACTAAACCTAACAAGGGGGGAAAAAAACTATCTGCATGAAAAGCTTCAAGCTTACACTTATTCCTAAAATAATAAAAAAAAGCAAAACTGTAATGGTAGGTACAAAACTCACAAATGCAATCATCACCATATACTTGACGCAAAGTCCCTGTAACATAAACATGAAAAGTAAACATTAAACCAACTTTACATCAATATATATTAAATATAAAACCTTAAGGCAAGGAGTATGTGAAATACTCACCATTCATAAATAGAGAATAAAGTGGACCTTCCATATTTTATTAGAACTTCACTCATTATGGGGTGCATGTATTCACAAAACGTAATTATCAATTTCCTCTTCCATAAACAGCCTCTTATGCCTTTCCTTCGGACTAAGACCATGTATATCCTCACAATTATCATACTTCAAGCAGTCAACTCCCTTGAAACACATGTACAAAACCTTTGAATATTGTCATTGCAACTCTACAGTCACACTAAGAATATAAAAACCAACGAAGGGGCAGAACAAAAACATTACAGAGATGATTACTAAATGCACATGTGCCATGGTGAAATCTATTTTTACACTTAGGTAAAACAATTTTGGAACTTATTCTAATCGTGAAGATAAAATTGACACAGAAACAGGATAGATTACTTGCATCTGCACTAAAAGTTCAATTTTGATTGTCCTCAAAGATCTTTCAAGATGAAAATCTATAATGAGATCAGTAGGCCAAGTATCAATAAATTTTTGGAAGATGGGACAAGCAACAAAAACATATGAAGACTCTTTGGAAGAAAGCTGCATTCATGCCACGTGTAAATCATAACATTCATGCCTTTTATTTAAGTAGTTTATCTAAAGTTTTTTTTTTAAAAAAAAAAACAAAGAAGACTAATATGGCACCTAAAAGATGTGAAGTTAATTTCCATCCACCGTTTGTCTTGGTGTCACACATGTGCAAAATACAAAATAGTGAACCAAAGAGCACCTTTACAAAGTAAACTTGCCATTACTTCAGAAATCACTGCAAAGAGAAAGAAAAGTAAATATTACTCTACAAATAAGAACAACTCACTTCCATTCTGAAAATTCAGTCCCCAACACAAAAAACACAAACTAATTTGCTGAGTCAATCTTACTATGTGCCATAAGTGGTTAAGAAAACACAAAATTCAGCAAACACTAATGTTTACTGATCTACTCATAAAATAACTCACTTCTAACAGTGATTTCATTATTTCATTTCTATTTGGCACTCTGTTAAGTATTAACACTGTCCACAATCATCAAAGACTAAATAATATTTTTAAAATTTAACGTGCTGGTCACTTACACGTACTTGGATCAATTCCAAGCTAAGACAAATCTATCTGACCATCCCGAAGTGCCTCTAGAAAAAGAAAAGCGCATGATAGCACTCTTCATAAATAAAGTGCACAACAAAAAAGATTTTAAATGCATATAAGTAAATGAAGAACTAAAAAACCTCCGCCAAAAGTAGATATATCCATACCTCTGGTAAGTACTAAAAATACATAAATTATATTTAGACTCAAACTAATTAACATAAAATTTACTAACTTCAAAAAACTGAGATACTAGCCTCTCTCTCCTTTTTTGATCAGCTTCCCGAGTTGCAAGCTCTTGTTTTGTCTTAACATATGCAAACTCCACAAAAAAATTCAGCCCCCGAAAAAAGGCCTAATCTTAGGAACAACTCTACATTTGCAATGCAGTTACATTTGTATTCCAAAATAGAAACAAAAACAGGATATAGTATTTCGATCAACTCTAGAAATTAAATCCTAATACATATTAAGAATTAAAAAAATATAACAGGCGCAAGTGGCATAACCATATATATATGCCTGAACCTCCACTCCAAGCCATGCAGATCCGTTGCCACAAGCTCTTGCGAAGGACATGATTGATTGTAATCTAAAATAAAAGCTCACTTGAATTACTATGAAAGAACTGTTTTAAAGCATAATCTAGAAAGACAGGTATTGGTTGTAGCAACAAGCACAGATTTAAGCATAAGGTTAGGCCACCATATTTTGAGACATTAAATATAATTAATATGATCTGACTCAACTTATGCATATGAAAGCACAAGTGAAATTAAAAATGATTGGAGAAACACAAGCACAAGGTTGACTTCACTGCAGCTGCAACATCCTCATCTTCACAGTCAGCATCGATTTTCACCTTCCCATAGTCTTCTCATCCTCATCTTACCTGTAATGTTCTCAAGCACTAAAATTCACTCTTTAGAGCTCCAATCAAATCTTCCTTCCTCTAAATACCATTAACAAATAAAAAGAAAACTTAATGACATACATTCAAGTTTAATAAACTCTTTTCCAATATTAACAATACTGTAATCAACTAAATTCTCAAATCAGCCCAATTTATAACTTTGACCTTTCAATCCTTGAAGTATTGTGTATATATACTTTCTATCCAGCACTTTGTTTATATAATAATTTTTTTTTACTTTCCAACTCTTCTAAAGCACATGTAGTTAAATTTAAATCATGGATGTACACACACACACACATCACACTTTACATCCAAGAATCTACAGTGCAAAAATTCAGAGGTGTGGAATAGATAAATCTTAACTCTAACCATTTTCAGACATGCATCAAATATTCCATAGACATCTTCAAGATGTGTGTCTGTGTGTAAACAATTTGGAGCTTGAATTTGGAAACCAAACGATTCCCCCACCCCCCCCCCCCAAAAAAAGAAAAAAAGATCTCGTAATTCCATTCTAACTTTCATTGTAGAAAACAATTGCCTTCCATAGTTCTAATTTACAGCAATACAATCATCACAATATTTTTTTTACCACTATAATTCAAAATTTCTTCTTACAAACATTTTATCAAACACCTCCTAGACATTAGTGTGAACACTGTACATCTAAGTTCTTTCCTCCTCAATCTCATCCTAACATTTTCTAATGTCGATATATGAGTTTATTAAACTTCCCAATTTTCACATAATCAGGAAAATTAAAAAAGAATACGAAAATTCATTATCTAAAAGTTTTCCCAAGCATCATTATTTATCATCAATTTCCTTCATATATACTCCTCTAGCCATAACTAGTTATTTAAATGAGATCTAATCCTCCTTCAAACCTTTCAACAAACACTTAATATGCATCAATTCCTAATTTACTCAATGGAGCTTCTTATCCATCAATCATCTGCCAAAAAAAAAAAAAATTCAGCATCAACATTTAGATTTATCATACTTTTCAAAACCATAGCCCATCAAGAATCAGATTAAGCTCAAATAAAATTCAAATCAACACTATCCTCATCTTGCACGTTAAACTGAAAATTTTCAGCTTATTTAAACCCTTCCTTCCTCATATATACGACACACAGAGCAATAAAGAAAGGGAATAATTCACAATTATTGCAATTTAAACACACATACACGAACAGAACCAACAAGGAGGAGGGAGTTCGAAGCTCCTCACCTTCAATCAGCGGCGGAAAGAGCAAGCAGCACCAACTAGCAGTGCAACCATGGGCCAAAAAGAAAAAAGAAGTCCCGTCACACACCCTCACCGCAACTGGAACAGAAAAGGAAGGAGTCGCTGAGAGAGATGGATGAAGTACGCCTCAGCAAAGACATAATAGGGGAGAGAAAGGAGAAGAACTGACAGCGACACTCATACCTGTTGCATGAACCGAGGAGGAAGAGGAATCTCTAGCTTGTTTGTGGCCGCCGGCGATGGATGAAAAGGAATGCGGCGAAGAAAGATTGGAGAAGATACAAAAGGGGTTTGAAGTTCACTCCCTCTTAGTCTCTCCCTGCTAAAGCTGAAAGGATAAGGGAAAGAAATATCCGACTCTATCTGATCACTCTTCTTGTTTTTTTTTTTGCCCCTTCTTCTTCTTCTTCTTCTTCTTCTTTTATGGGGTAGAAATGTAATTTCCAGAAGTTGTGGCAAACAAAAAATTCCTGGCCTCGCACCACCAAGATTCGAACCAGGGTTATACAACAAGATGAATTTTCAGTTTTGCACTAAGCCACAAACACATCATGCTAAATTTATCCCGAAACGAATAAAAATATTCATAAATTAAATTATCATAAATTTTGACTTAACTTATTGAGTTATTTCAACTTAAAGCCTAACAGATCTCCATTAATTATGTTCAATTTAGATTTAAAAATCTACACAAAATAAAATAATATTCAATAGGCGTATGTATAAAAATATTTAATGGAGAATTTTATCATAATTTTTAAGATTTAATCAATCAATTCTCACAAATAAGCAGTGACTGATTAAATAAAATATAATCTATTTAATCTCAATTAGCCACAATTCATTAATAAAATGACCAAGTGAAGAGGATAAAAATATAATTTATTAGGGAGCTTGGGCTAAAAAATGATTCGAGAAATGACTAAAATTAAAGGAGACAGGGAGTTTTAATTGAAAATCAAAGATTCATGTTAACAATATAGGTAATAAAAAACTAACAATTTTCTAATTTTTATAAAAATATTTTATAAAATTTTTGAGACAACTCTAGAGACAGATTTGTTAATAATTAGATATGGATTTTCTTGCTGTCTCTAAACAAGTCTCGATGATTATTTTAGAAGAGAATTTACAAACAAGTATAAAAAAATAACTTAGATAATTAGAGATGAACTCAAGTTGTCTAAAAAATTGTCTCTATTAAAATTTAGCTATGACTTAGAGATGAAGATTTTAGATACCTTTTTATTTGTCTCTAAATTTGTGTGTAACATTTTTAAATTATTTTTACAAAAAAAGTTACATAAATAATTAAAATATTTGTTACACGTCTCTAATTCCGTTTCCATTAGAGACACATTATAATTTGTCTCTAAATCGAGTTTTTTTTTTTTTTGGCATTGTAAAATGGTCACACCATCAAATGTTAGATATTATCAAATATTATGAATTAGAGATATTTAAAAAGGAAGACTCAATTAAGTTTATCAACAGTACACAAGGAAGACAACACTCTTGAAACAAAATATCCTCTACTTTTCTGCGACAAAGTACCTTTTTACATCAACTATTTATTATTTATTTATTTTAAAAATAAGCTAATAAAAAAGGATATGCATTTTTATTCATTAATTATTTGTTGCTCTCTTTGTTTAGTATGAAACATTTTTCTAAAGTATGTCATATTAAAAAACTACATGCAAGACATTTTAGATCTTTTAAGGTGAAATTAATAAGGTTTTTTTAATAGTGCCCTTAATTAAGAGGTGTAATTGATAATGTTTTCTAAAGGAGACACTCTATTAATAGATAAATGTGGAAAAAACGAACACACCTTCAATTGTCAGATATTAATAGAAGTTATCAATTAGATACATTTGAAAAGGAAGTTCCAAGGTTATCAAAAATACATAAGAGGAAGAGAGAAAACTTGACACAGAATATCATCTACTCTCTCGTGACAAGGTATCTTCCTAAATTATCTATTCATTGTTCACAAGGCCAATTTATACATAGATTATAATAGGATTTTGGCTCTCAAATTGCATAATTGTGGCTAATAATATGGGAAAAATAGGAATATATTACTTCACTAAAGAGTATTTTATGTAAATTGAAGAGGAAGAAAGCAAAAAGAGGCACAGAACATATTAGAAAGCAAGAATCACCCTGTCTATTTACATCTATACATAGACAAAGCTTGTAAAGATCACGATCATCTACGAATGAAGCATCCATCCTTGGCTTCTGGTCCTGGCTCTTTCATAGGTTATATATGGTCACAACCAATGTAAATAGAGCTACTTTATATAGCAGTTCATCAATGTAACTGTGACAAAAAGTGGGGAGGGAGTATGTATGTATTATTTAAATTTTTTACATCTTCCCACATCGTTTTTATAACCAATAAGAAAACTATTTATTATAGCAATTGTAAAACTAATAATAACTTTCTACATTTCTTGTAACAACATTGTTTTTTTAATCACTGTTAAAAGCTTTTTTGTAGAAAGTTATTATTAGTATTTTTTAATCACTTTATGTTATCGTTACGTTCTACCTGAGTGAGATGAGTGAGATAACTAAGAGCAATGGAGGAAAAGAGAATCATGTTGGTGACTGTGGAGGTGGTAAAGAGAGAGATAAGTTATGTCAGAGGATTCTTCTCCTCAACTGGAGTTTGTGTTTAGGAGTGGGCTCAGGGAGAAAACAGAGGGTAAAGGGATGACTAGGAATGAGGGTTTCACCTTTAAGCAATGGGTATTCTGTTGTTTCACCTTTGATCATGGATGATTGATGATCATTATATTTTGGTGCAACGATAGAGGCCAAATTTCAATCTATGGAAGGTTGATACGCAATGGAAGATTGCTGTGTGGGTGCATATACTATATTTGCTGTTTGAGCTTTATAATGTGGAATCATTGAGAAGGATAGGTAATATGGTAGGTAGAACTTTGAAGGTAGACTTGTCTACTTCAATATACGATAAAGGAGTATTTGATAGGATTTGTGCAGAGATTGATCTTCATAAACCTCTTTTACTGGGTTTTGCTGTGTTTGGCAAAGTATGGAAATTTGAATACGAGGGCTTGCATCAAGTGTGCTTCCATTATGGAAAGTATGGGCATCTCAATAAGGATTGCCCATTGATAAACACTGATAGTGAACAAGGTGAGGTAACCTCGAAGGTAAATGAGGAAAATGGAGATGAAAGTAAGAGGCAAAATAGGAAGAAAATGATTGATAAGATAGTGCAATGCCGTTGTCGATGATGGAGATGGGTCAATCGGAGAAGGAGATGCAGTTGAGTCCAAATATTATGATAATATAGGACTTCTGTAGGAATGTTAAAACTACAAATTCCAAGGGATTTGATAGGGGTATTTATTTGAAGAATCAGTTGAGTGAGAATGTCGGACGAGAAAATCAAATGGAAACATGTGTTAATTATGAGGCAAAGTCAAATCAAAAGCAAGAAGGATATTTAAAGGGGTCAAATGGTAGGATATTTGGGAAGGAAATTAATCAAACAAAAAATGCATGGGTCCCAGTATGACATAAAAGAAAGAATGATGGGAGGAGTAGGCTATGGGATAAGGAAAATAGATATGTGGATGCTGGGGAAAAAAAGGCTATTGTGGTGGCTCAAAATGATAGGCACACACATTGGTCAAATTCTTTTGAGGTTCTAAAATTATTAGATTTAGATAAAATGGATATGGGCCATTTGATTATTACTGAAGCAGGACTTGTGGATGCTCAAATGGAATATTGTAATAGCGGGCCTCCAAACGTGAATACAAATATCCATACAAAGGGTGAGGTTGAGGTAGGCTGAAAAATTATACACTAAGCAAATGGATCATGTAAACTTTGGCTACTGTTCACGTGGATGCATGCATGGAAACACAAGGTAAATCATTCTCAAAGGGGCAAGCACTCCTTCTCTAGGAAGTTTCCTAATGAATTATATGATTTGGAATTCTAGGGGTACGGGGTCAAAGTCTTTTTTCCCACCTTGTACAAGATCTAAAAAACATTATATACTCAATTTCTTGGCTATTCTTGAAACGTGAGTGAGTGTCCAAAATGCTAGTAAGCTGATAAATAAGTTGGGATTTTCGTACTTTAACGTGATTGATGCAAAAGGATATAGTGGAGGAATTTAGATTCTGTGGGATACTACTATCAAGAAGGTGACGGTGGTTGAAAAGCAATGTCAGTTTATTCATCTTGAGGTTACTACTTTTCAAAATGTAAGCTAGTTCACGACTATCACTTATGCTAGTTCTAACCCTGTGGTCTGAATATGCTGTTGAAATGAGTTATGAAGATTGAGTATCAATATCTAAGGGGCCTAGGTCATTAGAAATGACTTTAATGTGACGTTGTTGGATGAAGAACGACGATCAACAGCTATTAAGAAAACTTCTAGTGACAAAGAGTTCAAGAGGTTAGTAAATGATATTGATGTCACTGACTTGGGCCATGTGGGACCTGCACTTAGAGATGGGGAGGGTTGAAAGTTTGTATTGATCATTTTCTTGCTAATAACCAATGGCTTTATGTTTACAACAATGCCACAGTGACAGACCTGCCTCGATTCAAGTCTGATCACTGGCCGATCCTTCTAAGCATGAATGACAGCTCATATAACTTTTGAAGTGAGAGACAATTTCAGTTCATCACCTCATGGGTCCTTCACAATCTGTTTGAGGATATGGTAAGAGAGAACTGGTCAAAACATGTTGATTGGTCAGTGAACATCTCTCAATTTACACAGGCTTATAAGGATTGGAATACAATTATTTTCGAACACATTGAAGCATGTAAAAGATGTTTATTGAGACAACTAGATGGCATCTTGAATGTTATTGTTAAGGGATGGGATGCTGATTATTTTGAAGAGCTTCAATTCTAGCTATGGAAAAAGCTTGAAGAAATGATCATTCAAGATTTATTGCTATAGGCTCAGAAAGCTTGACTACAATGGCAACTATATGGAGACAAAAATTCTAGTCTATTTCGCTCCTTTACTAATCATTGTAAAAAGATTAATAAGATTACATCTTTATAAAGGGAGGATGGGAGTTGGTCTTATGATAGCATAGAATTTTGGGAGATGATGACTGGTTTCTTTGCTAGTTTATTCCTGGAGGATGGGGTTGATAGATGAACTTTTACCTACTCTATTTTGTCCCCTACTCTTGAAGAGAGCCGATAGTCAATGTGTGCCTATATAGCTACCAAGGAAGAAACTAAACAAGTGCTTTTTGATATGGAGCCCTTGAAATGTCTTAGACCTAATAGATTTAATGCTTTGTTTTACCATAATCAATGGGACCTTGTGGGTGACTCGATTGTCAATCTTGTGTAGCACATCTTCTCTAATGCACATAATATTAAGGAGGTAAATGGTACTCTTATCGTGCTTAGTCCAAAGAAAAATCTATGAATGTGTGAGGGATTTAAGATCAATTAGCTTGTGCAATGTTATGTATAAAATTATTACGAAAGTAGTTGCAAAGAGAATTTGTATATTTCTTAAATTATTTCCCCTAACCAATGTAGTTTCATTCCTGTACATCACAGCTTTGATAATATCATCGTAGCTTAGGAGATCATGCATTCTATGCCTAATATGAGGAGGAAAACAAGTTTTTGGCCATCAAAATTGATTTACAAAAGACATCTGATTGTGTTAATTAGGAGTTCATGCATAATTGTCTAAATGAATTAGAATTGGCTAGCTCTTTTATGGACTTGGTTTATGCTGCTCTTTCAACTGTACACATGCAATTACTTTCGATCGAATTAAAGGCAGATAAATGTATCCCTTTAAGGGGAGTAAGATTGGGAGATCTTATGTCACGTACTTGTTTGTAATTTTCATGGAAAAGCTTGCCCACTTAATTCAAGGATAGGTGAATTTAAGAGATTGGTAGCCTATTCGTCTCACAAAGACCAGTCATCCTTTTTCACATTTGTTTTTTTTCATAGATGATATTATTTTGTTCTCTAAAGCCACTATGCAGCAAACACGGATAATCAAGGAAACTCTTGAGAAATTTTGCGTTGCTTCAAGCATGAAAGTCAACTCTTCCAAAATGTGTATGTTTTTCTTAGTTAATACTATTATTACTAAGCACAGTGAGATTAGTCAGCTTTTGGACTTCACACAATTAGCAAACATGGGAAAATATATGAGAGCTCTTCTTCTCCACAAGCATGTCAACAAGGAGGCCTTCCAGGAAACAGTGGATAAAGTAAAAGTTAGATTCATGACTTGGAAATCTAGTATGTTCTCTTTTGTTGGCCGCTTAACTTTAGCTACATTGGTGATATCTGTTATCCCAAATCATGTTATGCAAACTGCTCAACTTCCAGTGAATACTTGTGAAAAGCTTGATAAATGCAATAGAGACTTTATCTCGGGTACCTCAATAGAACAAAAAAGATACATTTGGTTGCATGGGAAGAACTTTATAAGAAAAAGATGAATGGTGGCTTAGGTTTTCAGCATGCTAAATATTAGATCAAGCTTTACTTATGAAGCCTAGCTAGGGTTTAGTAAAACAAAGAGATGATTTATGGGTAAAGATAATTTGAAATAAGTATAATTATAGGGAAGACGTATTGTCTTGAATTGATGTCAACCAACCTAGGTCTAATATCTGGTCTGGGATTCAACTTACCCAGAACAAAGAGCAAGATAGGGTAGAATGGGTGAACTATGGATCAAATATTCACTGGAGGTCGAACAAGAATGACATGTTCTCTATTAAATCTACTTATGACATGGTTCCATGTACAGACTCTTGAGTAAACAAATTTTGTGAAAAGCTTTAGAAAATTGAGGCTTTGTAACAATTTAAAACTTTTTTATAGATGGCTGCCCAAAATATTCTATTGACAAATGTCTCACGAAAGAAAAAGGGACTCTGTGGTGAGGACACATGCAATATGTACAAATAGCTCTGAAGATATTGTTCATGTTTTACGTGACTGTGTGTGAACATGTTGCTTATGGTAGAAACTGATTTGGCTCGTACTATGGAATTGTTTCTTTACAATACAGCTTCATGATTGGCTAAGATGGAACAATACTACCAAGGAAATGAAAAAGTTCAAGGATTGGAGTGCACTCTTCACTCTTGTATGTTGAGAGTTATGGAAGCAACGAAACCTCTTTATTTTTGAGAATATGATCACACCTGTTCAAGCTATCGTAACTCAGTCTCAAGCAAATATCCGAAGCTTGAAAGATGCACATAAGAAGGTCAAATTTGGGAGAGAGATCATAACACACATTGTGCTTGGAAGGGAATGCCTACTTGACGAATGGATAAAATTCAATATGGATGGGGCATTTGTAATGGAGGGACGAGTGGCTGCATTTGGAGGTCTACTTCACAATTCTATGGGTCAATTCATTTCTAGTTTTATTTAACAGTTAGTTAGGGGAGATAGCCTCTCAGCAGAAATTACTACATGGATGCATGGGTTAAAAAATGGCTTGGGACTTGGGTTACAGAAAAACAATTCTTGAAACAAATTCTATGGAGACTCTGGAACTAACGAGAATGGGATCTATTATTGAGCATGAAGATCATGTCACCATTGAATTGACATGAGATTTTTTGCACCAGACTTGGGAGGTGAAGACGCAGCATGTGTCTCGCGAATTTAATCAACTGGACTTCCTTGCAAAGTGGGCCCTCTCCATTTATCCTGGGTTTCACACCATCAATCAGGCTCCTTATGGGCTCATTCCTTTCCTACAAGCCAATTGTAATGTGGTTGTAGTTGATGCTAGGCATTAGCTTGCTTTTGTTTCCTTTGTTTATTAAAAAAAAAAGCTTTTTTGTACCTCACATAAAGGTGAAAGGTTAACTGATTTATTTATAAGAGTAATTTTTTTTAAAAAAATCCTTAAATTACACTTGAAAATTAAAAATGCATTATAATTTTTAAGTCAATAATCATGTAGACATCACTTTTTATATTAGATATAATAGTGTATCCATTGTAATTAAGAAGTGAGATGTAATATATAATAGACCAAGAACTATTATCATCTTTCTTAACTTTACTATTCCATGTGATTTTGGTGCGTCCTCCCCAAACAATTTCTCCTCTCCGTACCAAAGCTTTATCAATTTCTTCTTTAACATGTTATTCGTGTTTTCTAACTTCCGTTTTCCTTTTTTTTTTTTTTTGTAATGAAGGAAACACAGTTGCATGGGTTGTATAACAAGCCCAAATTGAAGCCCACATCCACGTCAGAACTTAGAACTCTTATGGAAGAGATTCCCTGCATGAAGAGCATCTCGGTTATTGTGTGCTGCGAGATCCTAACAGAATATAGGATCCGTTTATTTAATTTTTTGAAAAAATTACAAATAGATTCTATATAAGAATATTGTTTACCAATAAGTTTCACATATTTGTAAAGATACATTTAGGTCTCATAAGATTTGGTTGTAATTAATTTACCATATAAAATGAATTTCCTTTAACTGGTGTTGACCTGTCAAAGAATGAATTTTTTTTGTGAAAAATATTTTTGTTGAATTATTTATGTTTTAAAATTTAGAAATCAAACATAATAGATTTATAAGTAAATTTTGTACATTTACAGCTCAAACTTCTTTGATTTACAACTCAATCTTTTACAATATTAATAAGTTAATATTTATAGTTAACTTTTGCATATTTACAAACTAAATTTCAAAATTTTACAGCAACTTAATTCACAAATATCACTTGTAAATTTGCAAACTTTAATTTGTAAATATTAAGGTATTAATATGTGACGTTTGACTTGTAAATATTAAAATATTATTTTTTTGAGAATAAAAATTTTATTGATATGTGGATTATTGTTAAAAGTTGTTTATATTTTGGATCGGATGGAGTATTTTTATTAAAAATAAAAATTATAATTATATACGCCAATTAAATATCTAATAATTGTCTATATAAATATCTCATATATAATTGATGTGATATGCATCTGTAGAACACCAGAGGCAATAAAGTCTAATTCAGATAACATGCACGAGCGAAGCTTATAGATAAAATTTGTAATGAATATAATCCTTTTGCAGAAAGTGAAACCCTACTTTCCCACCCAATTTTGGAATTCAAAATACTTTTTTTGGTTTCTCTATGTAAGGTTAAAGTCCTATTACTTTTTTAAAGAAAATATTGCTTATGTCTTCACCCACGAACCAAGAAATTAAGGTTTCATTATTGGAGGAAGACATTATAGTGATGATTTTAGAGAGAGAGAGAGAGAGAGAGAGAGAGAATTTGTGCACTGTGAGACTATATATGATGTATCCTTTTTAAAAAAAGATTGAAAGTATATTAACAAAAATAGAAAAGAGAAGTTACATAGAGAGACTTAATGACAATACATTAATTTTCTCTATATCCTAGTCATTTAAAATTATAGTTAATTTAAATTTCTTGTTCTCTTTGTATTTTCACTATCATGGCCTATAGGACTCTTGTATTT